TTGAAGCACTTCCTATGTCCTTTGATAGCGTCATTTTGTTCTGTTTGGACTCTAAAACAGACCTATTTTAAGAACAAAATGTCAATTTGAAAACCCTGATCTATGAAGCACTGCGGCTCTCAAAAGCATTGAAATTATCCTTTTTTGTGGGTTCTGTGTCAGAAACTGGCGGCGGGAGGGATCAGAGTCTCTCCCCAACAGTCATGTCCCTTTAGCTTTCCAATTTTCCTCCTCATCTCCAGCCGAGATGAAAGACAAACTGTTAGGCACCAATAATAAGGAAGGCTCCACAATCCCAGTCCAATTAGTGAGATTCATAAGGTGGCTTTTCACATTGGAAAAATAAAGAAAAAGCCACAATTATAGGAGTAACGTTGTTGAGTCAGCAAAAGCAAAATACCGAGATCATTCACAAGGATGGTGTGAATTTGCAAACCAAGCTGAAAACATTCTTGCACAAGGAGAAAAAATAATCATTGCAAACCCAGATCTGGTGGCGAATATCCATGAAGTAGATTAGTGGCTTCATATCCTGTGCAATTACTCTTACTCTTTCAGTCTTATCACATCTGGAGATTGCTTAATACCGATGTGAAAAAATACTCTGGTAGTAATTTTCAACAAAGCTTGTATATGAAATGATCCCTGTTCATAAAGAAGTATGAATCCACTGTTGAGGACAAGTACATTTCCTGTGACAATATCTAATATTTCCATGAACAGCAACTTCTGTCTGCAGCCCTGATGGAACTGGAGTCTTTACCTTAAAGAGGGAAATAATCAGAGGAATCTAATTTTTTGAGACATTAACTCTGAACCCCATATCAAAAGTCCAAGCCAGCATAAAGATTTATCACCAGAAAAAAAAAAAGCTTCACACCCAACATGTTTTTACTCAATAAATTACAACTAGTGATCAAACGTTCAGCTTTTCCAACCTGGAAAAATGCTCAAACTGTTCTTCAGACATTGGCCTCAGTGAACTTTTATGACACATATGGGACAGAAAGCAACATGTGAAACAACAAGGCACATAGGCATCTGGGGGGGACCAGAAACAGAATAATAAACAGGCCGGTTTATTGTGCATGGCTGAGCACCCCTCAGACAGAAGGAAAGAAAACAAGTATAAAGAAAGACTGCAAATGGCCTCATCCCTAAGATTTGTTTCTGCAGAATATGATCCGGCAGCGTGATGGGAAATATTGTGCAAAAGAAGAAAGCTCTGCAAAGTGAATGAGTAGCTGCAATCCACTATGCTGACAACTAGTGAATGAGCTTAGGTATACACAACTAATCGAAACACATTACTGTTAATGACAACATAAGCCAATGTGCGGGTCTGCTGACCATCGCCCTGTCTGATGAATGTCTCCCTTCAGCTGATGGGAGAGGGGTGGGAAAGTCAGGAGGACTCAGCCAGCCTTGGGGCACGGGGCAATGCTTAGCTGAAACGTTGTTTTATGGTGTTCCTGTAAAATGTCCCTGTGTAGTCACAACATACATAAGATAGAATGAAGAGTCCTGCTCACACTGTAGGAAATGAAGCCATCTGTGGAAGCAGCAGGAGAGGTATCATCAGGAAGCATCTGACATCCTACATGTAGATGCAGAGTAACTTCCAGGTTTACATAAAAAGCTCCACAAAGTCCATCTCCCCCTTTTTTTTTTTCTTAGGCGTTTCATGTTCAGGGTAGTTTAGTCTCAGATCTTGCGGTGCTGTAGCAGGCTGCCCTTTGGTCATGGGTTATGTTCGCATCTATGCTAAAGTGACAATGCACTGAAAGCTGAAGTGGTCCAGGGGTCACTGTAGATGGATGTACAGGATTGAGGCTGGGAGACTTTAAACACAAGCCATACAACACAGATAGGCAGAAATGAATTTCAAAGGGCATACATATACTGTACCTACAGCAGTTTGGTTTGTGTTTTATCTATTAAAACAAATCATCTCTCTAAACTGCAGAGCTGTAAAACATTAAAAAAAAAAAAAAAAGCACGTATTAATACTATCGCTAAATCCTGAATTGAGGATATCAATTATAACCGACAGGTTCATTTCTGTCTTTTCCTCGGTTCCTTGACAATAAAACTAAAGTATCAAGGAATTGAATAAAAAACTGCATTCAAGCAATTCATTGCGTTTCCAAAAATTTATATTGTAATGTTGATTACAGTCTATTGTTTACCGCAGCTCTACCAGAAAACAACAATACACATTAATGTTCTCTGTATAGAAAGTACCAAAGAAAAATGTGTAAATTGACTCATAGAAGATTGAATTTTCAATGTCTTGCAATTTATTGATCTATAAGTTCAGAATTCTGCTAAGAACAAATTCTTCTCTTCTTCATTTTTTAGCTGACTAACCCATTTTAACAGCACTGCAAGCTGCTATGCTTAACAAATCACTAATGAGATTATTCCACGTAGCTCTTTTCTTAAAGCAACATAATTCTGATCAGATTCCAAGTATAGACCATATCCTTAGCCAGCCAGGCGTTCCGTGGACGGATAATGAAATCAAAGTTGTTTTTGCTTTCCACGGCTTGTAAAAAAGTGTAATGGAGGTTCAATCTATATGCAGTGGATGATCTAAAAAAAAAAAAAAATATGGACTCCATCAATGGCCTCCACCCGCTCTGCCAGGAACAAAAACGTCAAGTAAGATAATATTTAACCATGTGATTTATATGCAAACTTGTTACACACTTTATTTATTTGGACTAAATTAACCCTTTAACTATCACTCTCAAAACTGCAGCATGCAATTCAATGGGTAGACGAGGACACTGGTGTGTCCTGATGACATTTAAGGAGTTTTTAAACTAATAATACTCAGTTGTACAAAGTGATACAATTGGTTCCACTTTTGGCACAATAACATCATCAATGATAATACACCAATTTATTTGTACAAAAGAATTGTGATACAAACCTTTTGCAAAACTACATCCCTACACATGCATCGAAAAAAGTTTAAATTTAAAGTTCATGCTTGGCGAAGTCCGAATTAAAAAACAAAAAAAAAACAAAATCATGAATGGGGGCACCTAATTTACTCACATGGTTTCAGAGCAGTAGAATTTCAGAAATAAATCTAAAAAAAAAAATTGGAGGTCAGGTACAAATATAGTGTAATGTAGTATAGGCTGTCTTTCCTGTGCAGACAGGGTGCAGGAGGCTTCGACCACAGCACATTTTCCCCCATAAAACATCCTCTGGCTGTGAAGCACTTTGCCGTGATGAAAACACCGACCAACTCCACAACAATTCTCATGACAGAGCAGGACTCTTATCTACTATAGAAAGGGGTTTCTGACATGATAGATGACAGACTGATGGGCTAACGACCGGAGAAAGAATGCACACTCGCTTGTCAGACTCTCCAGCGATGGCAGCACATCAGCCTTTATACACATACTGCTTTATGCAGTCCACTCAGTGGAAAGATGAGGACATCTGGGGCGAGAGGAGCATGTAGAGGGACACACTGTACGTTTATTAACAATTGTTTTAAGTGTAAAAGAGGAACAATGCTCTTTTAATGACGCTGGGAATGTAATTAACTGAACCCATGTAGCACCAATACAGATAGATCAGCTTTCTGAGCATTTATTACGGCATAGAGATGCATCAGAAAAAGAAAAAATTATATCATATTTTCCTTTTCCCCTGTACAGGACTTTGGTTTTAGAAGAGCTTCATAAATAAGTGAATTAAAATTTTTGATCTTAGTCACGGACAAAATCTTGAGATAGCACCTGAGCAAATGTCTAACCGCTGATAAGTAACTGCACTCTCTCAACGCTTTGTGGCCTACTATAGACACTTAAAGGGGCTGTATTCTGTACTTTTTAGGCACATTATAGCACAATTAAGTAACTATATTACTTTCCGTTATTAAAATGCTGTACATATCAAGCACAACTTGAAATTTAGTCTATGTCCCTTTAAAAAGCTCCAACTCTTTCAGACACTCAGCACGTTATAATTAATAATACTTCTCATTACAACCGTTCTTACGAGCGTTGGGCTGATCCAAGGAGGAGCTTTGTGGAAATAGGTGACGCTTTCCGGGAGCAAGCGTTTAGGCACCTCCGATTAATTGATTCAGAGGAATAGTACAAGTAGGAATAGAAAAACTTATTTTCAGTTAGTTTAGACAAACTTGACAACTGTATGTTAATTTAAGAGGAAAACAGTTGCATAATTTTTATAATTGCAGAGGATATGAAGTACAATAAATCTGTCAGCAATGGCCAGAATGTGTTTTTTTTTGTTTGTTTGTTTCAAATTTCATTTTGTTCCACTTTTCCATGATGAACTGCAACAACATAGGCCAACATTTTTAGATCTTGCCTTTGGCTCTGGAGCCCCAAGTGCCTTTTTGGACCTTCCACAATGGCACTAAACTTCATGAAGATTTTAGAAATACTTCCACAACAGAAGAGAAGTTACAGAAATATTATTTTAGATTATTTTCTTGTCATTAGGTTAGAAACTATTTGATTTTGTCTGACAAACATCCCACAGTAGAAAAGGTTTTGTGTTTTTCTTCATTTTAAAACCTTAAAATAAAAAATGAAAATGGTGGTTCTTTAAAGATGTCAACACATTTTATAGAGTAGATATTAACCAAAAAAATAAATAAATAAATAAATAAAAAAAATCAGGAAATTGCTCTAAATGAGTTTGCTTCAGCTGGACTGGGGGAGAAAATGGCACTTTGGGTTGTAGGCACTGAAATATTAACATATTGGTTGCAGTTTCCACATGCAGCTCTTATGAAATCCTCTTGCACAAAAGGCATACAAGATACTTTAATCTCCAACCAGTTTATACTGACATCTCCCTAAAGGAAAACATGCTCACTCCAGACCCATGCAATGATTTGTGTACAACTTCCTCTTCTGGCATCTGAGCCTTTGAGATGAAATCCCTAATCCACACTGTCATCTTGCACAACCAAGCACCAGATGTGAGCAGACAATACTTACTCAAAGGTGAAAAACAGTCCACAGGTTACAAGGATGAGGACCAGGGTGAGGTAGAAAACCCCCGTCTGTTTGGCCATCATAATCCTCCCATCACAGTAAAATTTATTCCGACCTGGGAAGGTCTCCCATTTCTTCCTCTTTGGGGTCCTTTTCTTGTAGGGGGTCTCCATTGGCGTGGAGCTGCGAGTGCTGATTTGACTGTACTCGCACTCTCTCATGGACTCCCCAAGATGCATCAATTACAGCAAAAATAAAAATAAAAAATAAGGAGTTGAAAAAATCCAGCGCCAGGACAGCCTCTGCGGAGAAGAGAGGTTCAGCTTAGCTCAACTTGTAAGGTGGTATAGAAGTAAAGTTTGAGAGCACAGCACTTCCTGTTATTAAAAAAAATACCTCTGCTAACCTTAACGTTTCGATTGTAGTTTTCAGTTCGCCACATGTCATTAAATGTAATCATTTTTTTGTAAATACAATAAAGGCAAACCTAACAAGCAAGTCTTAAAAGCTCTAATTAAAGTTTATATTGCCTTTGCAAGCAAGGAACATTGCTAGTTTCATCTAACTAAATAAATAAAGTGTCGCTAACAGGCTAGCGTGGCTAACAAGTTGAGGAGATACATTTAAGTTGATATAAGCCTGTGCATTCAAATGTTAGCACCATGTTCGTTCAAATATAGCGAAAAGCTTTGAATTAACTATTTGGCATTAGTGTTTCCCGCTGAAAGTGAGCAAGGAAGAAGAAGGTTTAAATCTAGCTTTCAGCGGCGCTGTCAACCATGAATCACAAACAGGCAGCGAGGCGTCGCATCCCGGCTGCTTTGGTCTGGTCTGCCCGCTGAAGCGCTGCCTTACCGGGGGGAAAGTAACACTGGCCGTCCTTGGTAGGGGTGTTGTCGCGGAGCTTCTCCCGTCGTTATCCCGGTTTGTTTCGAGCCAAAGCGAAGAAGACCATTTTTGGAAGTTTAGAGATGAACAAATGAGTTGGAAAGGGTCTCGTCGCCGAGGGGGAACTTCGTTTTTTTTTTTTTTTTTTAACGGGGAAGGAAAATCCAGAGAAAGCGCCCTCAGACGAGATCCAAAATCCCGGACTGGCCGTCAGTCAAGAGAGGCGAGTCAAACATGATCATACAGCCATATGGCAAAGCGGTTCATAGTAATAATCGATGAGACATTATCTTAAATCTTCATTATTCAGCCTCGTATTCGGAGGGGTAGGGGCAAAGTTGCAGCTTTCCTCAATAAAGCGTCTTGCCAGGCCACTCGACAACCCTCCGTCAATCCCCGTCCACACACGGCAATGCCACCCTAGCAAACAAACATCAACATGGGAGCAGAGAAGAGCCTCCGCCGCCTGCTCCGCCGCCTGCTCCTCCCCCTTCAGCCGGGGCTGAAGTCATGAAGGTGCAGAGACAGGAAGCGCCGATTAAGGGTTTCCCAAAACGGGGTGCGGAGACCACTAGAGGGTCCACTAAAAGAGTCGGGGGATCCTCCGCTGCAAAAGCTGAAGATCAAGTTCCTATATTTTTTTTAAAACCCAAACCCGAAGCTACAGTTGTACAGTTGGAAAAATAAAAAAAATGGGATGCCTTCTCTAGTAGTTTGAGTGGGATCAACTTCAGTTACCCCCAGTTATGACTTGTAAGGCCAACTTCGCATTTCAGTTTGGTTACTCCTTGCGATAGCAAAGTGTGGTGGAAACATGTTTATTTTACAAAACACACATGTAAGTTACTGTATACGTGTTTAAGTTTTTAAACACGTATACAGTAATCTATTTCTGTCAAGTGATAGAGAACAACCGTGTTTTTATAGTAATTTTTTTTGCTTATTTAAAATAGCAAATAATTAAACCTGTAGTATGTAGCATTTATAAAAAAATATGTTTTTTACATATTTGTTAAAATTGTCACCATGTCAAGACAGTAAGTTGTGAGACAGATACTATGTGAAAATATTGATTTTCTCCACCTCCTTCCTGAGCTGCTATTGCTCACCGCTTCCAACCAAAAGCAACTTTTTACATTGCTGCTAAACTAGGTTTTAAATTAATTGTATTTTCCTCAGATGCTTTAAGTTTCTTATACCCATTTTAACCAATTCAGATTTGTTTCTTGGAACTATAGTCATATGGAGAAATTATAGCCTGCAGTGTAGTCCAGCTGCTATTGATATGAAAGTGTATGCCTGTGCGATCAGAAAGAAACTGCACATGTTTAACATTTATGGGAGGTGTGCCTCTAAGTTTAAAGTTTGACAGAATGCATGCAAGCCAAATTTTAATCTTTTGGAATAAATGTCTAAAAGGAGAATCTCACCGACGTTATTTCAACCTGAGGCGGTAATATTTGCTAATAGAGGGTAGAGTATTTTAACCTTTTGCATAACATCAGATAAAATGTACGTTTATATCAATATCTTTTTAATGAGTAAAACAAGGTCACTTTTTGGTGCTTGGCCTACATTAAATGATTTCTTTCCAGATATAATTTAGAAGAAACAGGTGAGACATCAAAATACAATCAATTCTCTGAATATTTCATCAGGTGTCCTAATTTTTTCACATGACTGTCTATCATAAGAGCACCTCAAACAGTACTGGAATATTCGTTTCAAGTCTTTCTGCTGTGAGTAGTCATTAATTATTTGTATTAGAAGCAGAGATGATGGCATACCGCTGTGAGAGAAATCAACCTTGATAAAATGGTCTACATAATATATTATGTGGCTAAACATTTCAACACTGTCACCACAAGATAATAGTGTGGATTTTTGATAAATCACATTGCAGCCGGAAATGTTCACAACAAACCCAGGAAACGTTAAATATTGTATGAGGCGATGCTTAAGAGTTCTCCGTCAATTATCTGTACATGAGAGAAAGAGAGCTAATTCCTGCTCTATTCCGCCTCTTCTGCAGTGTCCTTTGAAACAGATGGTCAACAGGAAGAAAGATTATTAAATAACTAAAACCCGACAAAACCAACATTTACTGAAAGAAAATTGTACAGTAAATGGAGTCTGTGTTTGTCATATTGGCGGCGTTTCTCTGAAAACAAACAGGCAGTGATCCTACCACCACAACTCGTGCCCCACTCAAATGCCAGTTTCAGGTTACCAATGAATCAATTTCCTGTCCAGCTTCCGACTGCCTTCTCAGCCTACATTCCCTGAGCTCTCCGTCCCTTTCCTAACACCTACGTAGACACAGACACACTTGCCCACCTCTTCATTTTTCTCCGAAGTTACCCAGGCAGTCTTGCTTGTTCTCTCCCACGGCTGTGCAATTATCCTGTCTCTGTAAAGAAGCCTTGTTGCTTTTTTTTATTTAATCTGAGAAAGCTTTGTTGTTCCAGCTTGCAGAGATGGAAAACATTCTCATTTTACTTTTGTTTTCTGATGTTTGTTATTTGAGTGTATACAAAAGGCATGCTAAACTCAGAGGCTATTAGAGTTCAAATACAGGCTGCAAAGCACTGTTTAGTTACACTAAATTGAAGTAGAAGTAAAATGACGCATGCATTTTAAATTTTTTTGCAATAAAAATGTGAAACGTGTAGTATTCATTTGTATTCAACCTTCTTAATGGAATGTCAGCAGCACAGGCTGTAGAAGAAGGTGATCTGATAATGAGAAAATCTTTAAACCTTTTGGTCGATATGCAAAAAAAAAAGTATCTCTGCTCCTATGGCAGCATCATCATGTGACGAGGAGGTTCAGAGACTGGTCAGAGCTATTAGGGAAAGGATGGAGCTGAATACAGGGAAAATCCTGAAAGAAAACTTGTAAGAGGTTGCTAAGGCTTTACAAAGAACAAAGGCTGACTTTCTACTGGATCAACAATCCCAAACTTACACTAGAGCCACAGTGATTTACTAAAAAAGTACAGCTATTATCCCAGCTGACAGTCTGTGGCCTGAATAAACCATTCAAACTGTTAAACATGGTGGTAGCAGCATTATGCTGAGGGGAATGTCAAAGTCCAATCTGAATCATACCTCGACATACGTCAAAACACCTGAAGCTGTAGTAACAGCAAAAGGTGGTTCTCTAAAATCTATAAAGTCAAAATTCATATTTTAAAATTTGAATTTGTAAAAAATGATGCAATGGCAATTGGTTGCACTAGACTTTATTTATGGGTGTCAAATATCAAAAGGGTTATTAAAATGTTTAAACCATGTACTCTTTTACTTCCATGTATCACCATTAAAAGATATTTTGTGAAAATGTATCACAAAAAATCAATAAATGGCGATAAAAGTTTGTTGCATATATATCTTTGGGAGGTACTGTGATATAATCTACTAGGCATAACATTGTAAATCTCTTGCAGTGTGTTAACCAGAAATGATAGGAATTTAATGTTTTATATATTTACAATCAGCTGTATTTTTTTTAACTGTTACGGATGAAGAAATGGAACCAAATACAACATTCTTATGTTACTTTGAAATTGTTTTTTTTTTTTTTTTAAACACTTGTCGAGCTTCCCACCAGTGCTTCCAGCAGTGTGCAAGCGAACCAGGAAGTTTCAAATACAATACTTAGGTTGTAGGAAAGCTTTGGATGCTGTTAATGGTTACTGATGATCTGATGGCCCTTTGCGCTGTTGATTTTAGAGTGGGCTTTGCTAAGCAGTGTGAGGATCATGGCAGAAGCAGGAAAACCCATGCACTTGCGTCAAACTCAGTGTAGAAACACAATAAATTTTTTAGGCCTCATCACAGTAAAATAAACATAATCTGTGTGGAAATTTGACATATTTAGGTAAACCCATAACTTAAACCACCCACAATATTGAAAATATGAGACACATCTTGCTTTTATCCAATACCCAGGTATCTAATTTTATATGCAAGGCAGCCCAGTAGGCTAGTCGGGGAAAATGACATGTCTGAACGACACCACATCCATCCTGTCAGAGCTCCATGACTCAGCTTTTCATAGCAAGCGCAGGGTGGGTATTTTTATTCTGTAGTTGGCTACCAACACTATCTAAAAAGCACAGGAACTCACTTTACACAGACTAAATGTCACAATCCTTGTTTTTTTTAGGTGCAGTTACAAACAAGTGACAACACTACAGATAGTGCCAAGAGATGCCTGGAAGCACATCCATCATTTCTTTCTCTTCATCAGTAAAGAGTCGATCGCACTGTTAATCACTTCTTAGATGGGCTTTGATTTATTTTTCTGTGTGTGTAAAATGTGATTAAATGAGGATAAGTGATTGCAACTGTTTTTCAGTCCAGCAACTGAACTAAAACTCATAGTTCAAGGCTCAGCCTGAGAGGAGACCTCACATTGCTTGTGTTATCAACAGCAAGGATGTTACAGTATTATTAAAGGCAGCTTGAAATAGAGTTTGTCATGATGCTTGTATCTCCCTGGGCAAATAGAGGGAAAGATGAAGATGTCTGATTACAAGAAGAGCAAGCGACCTTTCCAAGAAAAATTAAAACTTTTTGTATATATATATATATATATATATATATAAAACTGCTGCTATATATATATATATATATAGCAGCAGTTTTCTGAAATAATGAAATAGTTTGTTTACAGTTGTGTTTTTCATTTAAAAGAATTAGATTAAAGGGCAATATTATTAAAGAGGTCAAGATAATGTGGGAGCGGTAGATGTTGACACAGAAAACATAACAAATACTCAGCCTCGCAAAAGTGTTAATTCTCCTTGAGCACATTTTGTTACATCAATGCCCACAAATTTCAATGTGTTTTATGTGGATTTTATGTAACAGATCACTCCATAACTACAGAGTAGGTGGAAGGAAAAGGATGTGAAAACACTAATAAGAATTATTTATTGGGTTGTATGAAGCTGTATTTATACATATGTTTTTACCAGCTTTACTCATCTAGAATGGTAATATTTTTTTCTTATCATTCGTTTTTGTGAAATACTTCAAACTGCATAGAAGCAAAGCAATTTTCCAATCTAGATTTTGACTCCCTGACACAGTTTGATCTAAACCATCCAGAGTAGTTCTGGCTGTATTTTTAGTGCCGTCCTGCTGGAAAGTGAACCTGCAATCCAATTTCAAGTCTTTTGCAACCACAAGCAAGTTTTCTCCGGGGATCGTCTGTATACCTTCATCTGTCAACTCTGACCAGCTTCCATGTCCCTGCTCATTAAAACCATTTCCACAATATGATGCTGCCACAATCATTTTCATAGTAGACATGGTTTACATTTACATATTTAGGGGAAAAACAGTAAAATGGGTTGTATAAATCGGCTTGACAAACTACATGCTTTATTCCTGAAATGTTTTGAAAAGTCTCCTTTTTCTTTCACTTTACAATTTTGCTCCTTTTGCAAGATACTGTATTTCTCATGACTGTTTCGTAATGAGTCATCTGGTTTAATAAAGA